ATTTTTTCTAACCTTAGGAGAGGTGCATTTCAGGGGGGGGGAGGGGGGGCTTGGTACTTCTACAAGCTGGTACTTCTACTACTACAATCAACAACCTGAAGCCAGCGATGTTACGTTTTTGAACTAATGTTAAAAACCAACCAGCATTTAATGAACTAGTACTGTAAGCAGCACTTGAAACAGACGGACAGTTTCAGCACCGGACAGTTCCTTACTGTCTCGCACTTCTCTTGTCACAGGTGATGCTGCCGACAAAACCAATAACATGACATTGACTTTATGTTCTAGACCTAGCCTATATATTACTATAGGCCTTACATTTATTAATTATCGTGTAAAATACCCCCCCCTCCCCTCCCCCTCCCTCTCTTTTAGGGTAATCCCGGTTATCTTGTGAACTGGTAAAGCCACGACAGCACTTCAATCTGGGCCATCGCAGGATTTGCTCCGTGGATGAAGGCTACCATGGGATTAAATGAAAGATCGGCGGCCCGAGATCAGTGACAGACGACTCAGAGGGAATTGAATTCAGACATTTGCACAGAAATATTAATGTTTTACTCAGAATCGCTTTTCTGTCGTCTCGGCTAAAGCATATTAAATAAGTCATTTGGTTTATTTTAAATTAAATAAAATATAGGCTTTTCATTGCCTTTAGTTTTTGCTAAAGTACATGCTTTTCCAAAACTTGAAAATGATTCAATGATGCGACTGATCTAGACCAAAAAAAAAAAAAAAAAGACTATCTGTTTTCCTGATTAGCACATCTATTTCACACACAGAGACAGAAGTCAGACAAACTTTTCATAAATGACTATAAAACTTACCCGAGCTGCTTTATCTCGCGAGCCTCTCAGGAAGTGTGCCAGATGAAGTGTTCAAATGTCTTCGGGTCTAGTTTCTGGTCTCTCTGTGTACTGTCAGTGTGGAGAAGTCCCTTGCTGTGTCCCTGCGCAGACTTGTCCCACTGAGTCTCAGCGTGGGTCACTCTGCGGGGGGCTCTGGGTTTTAACCTCCAAGTTTAAGCTCCTCCCCATCCTCCCATCCAATTTCTGTTGTCGCTGTTGAGCTCGCGCGTGGCCGGCCCGTGGCTCGAGCCCCTGCGTGCGTGTGTGCGTGTGTGTGTGCGTGTGTGTGTGTGTGACAAACAGGAGAGGCCCAGGCCTTTGTTGCGTCGCGAGGACGGCCGCCAAATCCGCAACACGTTCGCACTGAGCGGAGGAAGAGACGCGCTCAGTAGGCTGATCTTAACTGTATGTGACAGCTTGAAGTTGCATGTGAGCAGGTGCTTGCTCCATCCCCTTTTCTAGTCATCCTTTCCTTCGCAGGCTGCTGAACATGTTCATCCCACCCTGGGGCAGCTCTGACCAAACTGGGAGAAAGTTTCTCTGGGACTCATTAAATGGCTTCTTCACTCTGAAGTATGTAGGTCCATGCCTTCAGCATTTTCAGATAATGCAAGGCATCATTGATTAGGTTAACTGCGGTAGAAGAAGATGAACTCACTTCCTGTAATCAAGTGAAATTTTAAAACACATCAATATTAAATAAAGGTATCACAAGTAAGTTCTGACTTTAAATTAATACATTAATAAATAAGTATATGCAAATTGTTTTCTAGGTGTCAAAACTCATAATGCTAATTTTTTTTTTTTAAATCATGTTTTTTATATGCTGCAATATGTAAGCAGCATTTAAAAGTTTGATCTTTTCAAGGTTGTGTCTGTGTCATCATAAAGGACACTGATTTAAGAGACCTCAACCTTTATCAGTCTTGACACAACTTCCATTGGACTTATAGCTTTCTTACATATTAGCCATAGTACATTCGAACCTGTAACCTGAGGGGATTGTTCTTGAATACATACATACAAACTTTCTTTGAGTACATTACTTGAGCAGCCTAGATCTTGCTGGCTGCGAACTCATCTACCTACGGGTATACAAATAAAGTAACCTGAACCTGAACCTGAAAATGTATTAGCTTTGGTATTTTTACAATATATGCTAATTGCTGTATCATCATAAATGAAAGGTTCCCTCTTTAATGACTTGGATGGATTCAGTTTTTGAACATTAAAACACAACAGTAGGATAGGGGAAGGCAGAAACACTGAAGACTAAACATGTAAAAGTTAAAATAAATAAAGACACAAATAAAACAAGAAAGGGAAATCTAAACTCTGAAAATTTGCCAAATACAAAATTAAACAAGACCAAATCATGACACAAGGTTTGGCTCCCTGAACAGCCACACACACACACTTAATAGGTTACTAATATGATATTGCTTCAAATTGAACTGAAGATAATGTGTCAAACAGATGTAATAATACACAAACTAACTCAAATGTGTACAGGAAAGAATCTACACACGTGTTCTGTTTAAAAAAAGAACATCTTGTTGACAGAAATGATCACTAATCGGGGAACATGGTGACAGAGAATATATCCATGGTTTAGAAACCGAGCACGACATGCACTGAAGTGGAGGTCGATTGGAATGTAATCTGCTAACTCAAATTATGAGCTTCTCATTCCGAGGTCAACCACCTTCCTCACTTCTCCTCTCCCTGGGGTTTCTGCCTTTCCTATTGCACACCTGCAGCCTGAAATGGGAATAGCCGAGTCGGATCATCCCCAGAGTGGAACTAGCAGGGGAGTTTGATTGCTGAGGTCTCGTGTCCCTTTTGCATACACTCATACACCGCTTATATGATACTAAAATAAGCAATTATATGTGTTTCATTTCAAAATGGGGTTTTGGTTGAATTCATTTGCCAAGTTGGTCTACTTTTTTTTTTTTTTTACTTCCTCCTGTCTTTTGCTTTCTTTTTCATTTTTATTTTCAGTTTGACCCACTTTGAATATCACCCAGTCTTTATGTTGTACAAGTGTTGCCCAAGTGTAGCACTATGTGTGCCATGATGTCCCCAAGTCCCTCAGTGCTGACCGCACATGATGAAGTCCTGCTGCAGATGGCCTTCTCACTTATCTCTTGTTTTAATGTGTGTGTGGCTCAGATGCTCATCTATCCTCCACTGGCTGCTCAGCTCACTCAGCATGTCCTCTAGGTGTGATAGAGATATGGGATTTAGTTTAATATTATAAAATATGAAGGATGGATAAAACTTCACTCCAGTACACACACAAACATGACCTTTCCCTGAATCCCCAGAGTTTCTGAGTGTGACAGTTGGGGAAAAGTGGGTTTTGTCCATCTGTCATACTGGGAGTCCTCTGAGAGATATCGACACTGCAGCATGAGGAATGTGTGCATGTTACTGTGTGTGTGCTTGTGTTTGTAGAGCTGAATGGATGGCATGTGCAGCAATTCAAAATTTTCCTTAGATATAGCCTACTTTTACTGCAAAGTTATGTAAAAAACAAAACAAAAAAACAACCCCAATTTAACCAACCAAGAAGATTTCTCTTGCTGCCTTTGTCTAAAAAAACATCAAAATGCATGCGATTGGTAAAGGCATTGACAATATAGGTCATGAAATTGTTTAGAGAGCACACAAAACTCCAGAGAATGAATGTAGCTCTGCATTTCACACTCCCCCATCAACTTTAGAAATGGCCGGCATCTAAGCCAAACTTGAACCTCCCTCCAGCCCATCACCAACCCAGAGGAGACAGGGGTGATATTGACCATGTGTCCTCTACTAACCACCTCATTGATGGACCCTACTTCTGGATAAAATAGAAACCTCCCCTCTGCCCAAACCCCTAAACCCCCTTAACCCTTCCCTAAACCCTCTGTCGACCCCCTGTTGTGCGCGCTCATTGGCTGACCGCCTTCAGGCGTCCCTTTTCCACGGGTCCATTGTCTGGCCCCATAAGCAGCTTTGTTTCTGCATGTGCAGCTGGGCTAGCCCGCGCAGCCATTAGCCACAACACGCTAAAGAGAGAGCGGGATAATATAATTACAAAACAAAAGTCAGGTGGCTCACGAGATCTGCCAGGAGGAGCTCTTTTGGGGGAGATGCAAGGATACGCTGGCGGGTGGCCAGCTATAATTCGATTATGAAGTTGTGTGAGCTACAAAAGACACAATTGAATTTTTTTTCTTTTATTTGCCCCACTGTGATTTAATTTGATTCCACTGGGGCTTTTAAAAGGGCTGAGTGAAAAGAGAGAAGATTTACTTTTCTAATTTCTGGAGTCACCAGCTCAGAAAATGTAATATAGCCTGACAAAATAGTGAGAAATTCTTCTCTGAGCCGACTTTATTGTTGTGTTGCTGCATGTGAGGCGCAAATCAGATGAAACGCTGAAGGCTGCATTTTCCTGCAAAGTGACTGGTCTTGTGCGCTTGTTTTTGCATGAATGCACGCAGACTAGTGGACAATGGGATCAGTGGCAGATCCGTCTCCAGTAATATTCTCTTCAAACAGGGCTGCAAGTGTGTCCCCCTGTTCTGTCGGCAGACCCACATTTATCCTGTTAGTCACCCTGGATGAGTGAAAGAGTAAAATCAACCCCCATCCCAGCTGGACACACACTCACAATATAAAGATGCACCAATTCAAACAGGCACACACACACACACACACACACACACACACACACACACACACACACTGGGGAGTTACACCCGCAGCTTTATGGGCAGCTGATAAGAACAGGTTTAGCTGGTGGCTACTGTTTGAAGCAGGTCAAGCAGAACAGGATCTGTTAATGTCTTTTTGTTTCTATAGTTTAAACTGCAAAAGACTGTGCTTAGTTTTTTGTTTTTTTGTTTTGTTTTGCTCCCATATAAGACAATAAGCGTTTGTGTCATATGCACACATGCTCTTACCACTCACAGGCCGGTGTCAGTATTGTGCCCTCTCAGGCCGTGTAAACGCCCATTTCTTGCACAATTAGGCACAGCTTGATCGTGCCCCTGGGAGAGCACCACATTCCCTTGTTCTGTGGAAAGGTTACACTTCAGATAATCAACTGTCTGATTTATTGTTTTATTTATGCAACTGTTTGTCAAAAAGAGCAGCAACTTGTTTTTCTGATTTTTTGGGTCTGTTTTATTAAAACATTTTGGGAATGAAGTTAAGATATTTTGAACTTTTTACTTCTAAATCGTAGACAGAAACAAATTTTCAAAGGCTTTATGTCCTGAAAACCAAGCGGACTCCTATGAGAGTTTTTGCAGACAGCAGCTTCAGTTCCTGGGGGTTGCAGGGAAGGCAGAGCCAATGAACTTCTTTCCATCACCATATGAAGAATTGTCCCAGGTATAAGTTTGGATCATGAGCTCCTTCCCTCCCAGACTCAGACGACACCTGCAGAAAATAGACCATGAACAATTTTTTTTTTTTTAAAGAAATAAAAAAGATTGCAGGACATAGATATACCCACTGTTTTCCCGGGCGAGTGATGTAGCAGAGGCTGTACAAGGCAAAGTCAAACTCAGGGCTGCAGCCAATCACTGCGGAGCCGACCTGCTTGTAGTAGCCATCCCACTTGAACTGCATCCCCAGAACATCAGGGTAGGTGGTCCACTAGGAGCAGTTGAAAGAAAGAAATTTAAAAATTTGAAATATATGCGCTTGAGCAAATCAACACACATTGAGTTGTGTAGCTTACAGGCCCATTGAAGCTGTGGCTATAGTAGTTCAGCTTCCCTCTTTTCTCAAGAAGATAAAACTGGATCCAGTTGTGGAAACCAGACACCTTTCCTCCCTTGACCTCACCTATCAAAGAATATTGTTCTTCATCAGGGTTATGTAAAAAAAAAAAAAAAAAAAAAGTAGTTGCAAACATCTGTTGTGCTTTTAAGAAACCTGCTCCTTCCTAACCTGCAAAGATGTGTTCAAACCCGCTGGAGTCCATCTTGTTGTTGTTTCTGGAGTACAGACCGAACCACATCATCTTCAGATCATGAATGAAGTCTTCCTCTGATGCATAGACACCTGGAAATACAGAATAAAATACTTTTTGGATGGATATAAAGATCATGAAAAAGAGAGACTGCTTGATGTGGCTGCTAAATGCCTACAAAACTGCAACCTTTGAGGTGCTGGTTTAGCTCAGTTGGTAAAGCGGGTGCCACGTGTACAGAGGCTGTAGTCCTTCACACACTGACAGCAGGTTTGACTCCCAGTCCAGGTGCTGTTTGCTGCATGTCATTTGCCCTGTCTCTCTAAATCTGTCTTGTCAAATAAAGCCCAAATTGGCCTTCAAATGATATAAAAAAATATTACACATTTTCACTGAATCTTTACTTAGTTTAATCTAAACATATATATATATGTGTGTGTGTGTGTGTGTGTATATGCACAGTGCCATGCAAACAGAAACTGATAGCTTATTTTAGTTACCTCTTAAAATGTTCAAATGTTACCAATTGTAAACCAGAACATCCTTAAACTGTGACAGATTGCTAGTGTCAGACTTTGAAATCCTCTGCTTTACAGCACTAGCTTTATCAGACCACAATGTAGTTCGGGAACAAATCCCAGGATGAAGTATTCAGCATGGACCCGCAGTTACCCTTGGTGTAGAGGAAAGCAAACAGCTCTCTGCCCAGCTCAGTGTTGGACATGGTCTCTTTCACGAAGGTGTCCTGCTCAGCCAGCTGCTGAGAACTCATGTCCTCCGTCTGTCCTGTCATCCTGTTGTAGTTGTCCAGCACAGCCAGCAGGGCGGCGTATGTGGGTCTGGAAAACAGAGTCTGCTCATCCAGGTATTTGAACAACCTGGAAACACAAAGACAGACACCAATAGAGACAGAAAAATATAGTTAAGTTATGAAGATTAATTATAAGCAAAAACAAAGAGAGAGGCCTGTAGTTATGAACACATTGTCTGCTCACAGTCTTGAGGAGAGGTCAGACTGGGAGCCGGTCTGAGAGTCGTGCACCAGAGCCTGGGGGTCAATGATCAACTGTGAGGCTGAAGCCTTGTTTGAATCCAGAGCGTAGAGTGTCTCAGAGAGACTCTTGATCTCAGCATCAGTGATCACATCACCTCCACCTCCTCCATCACCTGTCCATAATCACATACACACACACACACACACACACACACACACACACACACACACACACACACACACACATACACACTATGCGTTAATCATGTTTCTTTTGTTTACCTGTTGTACTGATTTAAACATTTCTGTGGTAATACCAATGATGGAAGGTTATCAAGAATTACAAGTCAATATTCTCAAGTATGATACTTAAGCAAAGTTGTGAGGTACTTTAACCCGCTTGCATTTTATGTTCATTTAAAAAAAATTAAATGCTGGACTTTTTTTTTTACCACATTACATTTATTTTCCAGCTATATGTTGTTGTTTTTTTGCGATTAAGATTGTGCACAAGATACAAAGAGACAGTGCAATCAGTGTATTGAAAGATAGAAATATTAGCCTTAGCTGCTGTGCTCCACCTCAATCAGCCCAAACATGAATTTGATGTTTACATTATAAGTTACAATTTGATAAGAATTCAAATCCCTCTGATTAAGGATATGTTTTCTACATTTGAGTGCATATTGCATTATTACGTGTTTTACCACTTTGTTCTTACAGTAGAGAGAGGAAGGTCTGAACCCTTTATTGCTTTCAAAGTGTTGTATAGAGCACAACAGTGACACCTGCAGGTCATATAATAGAAGAAGATTTGACAAAGAGAGGCTGCTGACCATACAGGTCAACAGTTTGTGGAAGAGGAATTTAAAAATCCTACAACATAAAAATACTGATTTACGATTAAAACTCCTGAATTAAAAATAGAACTCAACTAAAAAAAGCAAAGAGGAGGATAAATTCAAGAGCACAAACTAGAGGAGATTAATGTACCGAGGTGTAGAACTGAATTAAGTCAAAAAGTCTGTTAGAGGAACACAATCCTGAAACAAATTACCAGCACATATCAGGGATTGTGAGAACTTCTCAACCTTTAAAAAAAAACCTTAAACATTGGTTAAAAGCAAACCATTTATTCATATATAATATCTGTCCTCCCTTTCTGGTGCCCATCCGCCTCATCCTCCATTTTTAATTAGCTAACTGTATGTGGGTCTGTTATTTCTTATGTGACAACTGTGTCCATTTTGTTTATAAAATTGTCTGTGAGTTCTTTAGTGCGCTGTTCTGAAGACTGTCCTGTGAGGTGTCCTGTAGTTGTAAACATTTGTTACGTTTGTTAGTACCTGACTAAGGATTAAATTTAGCTTTAGTATTAGTTCCAGCATATTCACATAGATGCAATATGCTGATAGTGTTGATTGAATGTGCTCTGTCCTTATTCAATAAATAAATTCATTGAAAAGTATATAATAAGTATAATAAGAACCACTCAAGCTTCAAACAGTTGTTGAAGTGAAACTAAAAAAGTTAAGAGGAAAATTCTCAAAGTCATGTGTAGTAATTTGAGAAAATAATTTTCCTCAGTCCAGAGTCTGGGGGCTTTATCTGCGTTCTCTTAGATTCAGTATCTACAATGTGAAAGAGAGCAGGTGTTACATGAGCCGAGTAGCTGTTCAAAAGAAGTAGTGCAAACAGAGGGAAGCTAGCAGACTAACAGTGGTGACAAACTGATCTGCATGTGAGACGGAGTCAGTCCTATACAGTAGGTGTCAGGTGGTTTGTTCTTACTGTCACAGAGGTCTTTGTAGTCGCTGCAGCAGTTGTTGTACTGGGTGCACTTAGAGTTGCAGTGGCACTTGTTGTCATGGTCGTATTTCTCGTCACATCTGCCTTTACAAGACGTGGCTTCAGCTAGAAGGAGAGAAAACACACTTTGGAACAAAAGGTGATATGCATTATATTAAATAAAAGCATTTCTGTGTACTAAGTTCTGAGGTATAGAACAAGAGTGTGCTTACACCACTCACCTTTACAGAGCTCAGTGTAGTCAGAGCAGCAGTCTCTGAAGCGCTCACAGGAAGGGTTACACTGACAGGAGAAGTTATTGTCTGTGCCATAACCACAGCGTCCCTCACATGAGTCCAGACTGTCTGAGGATGAACAGACAAGACAGTAAAACCTTTTTAAAATGATATAACACTGTTATACATAAACCAGTTTATGATTATAATAGAGCAGAAAACTTCTCCTACTGCTGTATCCCTGGTGAAAGAGGGTCACCAACAGTGCAAGGAAAGCAACGACTTTCATCCTAGATCAGCTGCAACCTGAAAACAAGGTGTTCCAGCTCTTACCATGGTCTCCCTTTTATAGCAAGTTTAACCTGACCAATCCAAACCAGACTTTGAAGTTAATCCAGCCCCTAAGTCAAGAGGCCAACTGCTTCATCTGGACATGCTTCATCATGTCTTTTGGACAATATGTATCCTCACTTGCACAATGAAACTCCTTAATTGTTGGTTATTTTTCAAACTGGTGGACAGAGTTGATGATTGACCTGTTGTAAATCAAGACATCGTTTTAAGAAGTGTGAAAAAATAATTTTGAAAGCTGCAAACAAACTTTTTGTTGTTTTTTTCTCTCTCACCTGTTTGGCACTGTAACAGTACTTTACTGTATCAGAATAAAACCATTACAAAGTATGAGGTGTAAAAATGACAGCCAACCGATGTTTTGCTCTTTCATGAAATGAAGGTCATTTTAAGATGAATAATGATGAAGCTAAATGTTTATTCTTAAGACAGTTGCATATTAGGGGTTTATTAATAAAGTTTGTTAAAATACTTTAACTCAGCAAGAGCTTTTTTTAAGACCAGGTGCTGTTTTTCACAGGGTTTATAAAAGATAACACAGAGTCGCTCACCTGCCTCAGTGTCCGTGCTCGTGTTGACCTCACGTGCTCCAACTGCAAATACCACCCTGCAAAGATGCATGGTGATCTTTGAAGTTACACAAGTATTGTTTCCTGATTGTTCATTTCCATTTATTAACACCACGGGAGTCTTGCCAGTAGAACAAGAACAGCAGCAGTGCACTTTTTAATGACAAATGAAGATTTTCTTTCTGTTCAGCAGTATAAATCACAATTTTTCAACTGTAACGACGAGTGAAATCTTTGATTTTTCATGCTCACAAACAGTTGACAAATAGGCTTCACTAGGGAGTTAAAAAATGTGGAGACAGTGGGAAACATTTGTTAAGATAAGATGAGATAAACCTTTATTTATTCCCTCAATGCAGAAATTAACATTGTTACAGCCACAAAGAGCAAGCATGGACTAAAAGAGAGCACACAGTGCACAATTAAGTAATTGAGGAGCCGAAACAGAGCTGCAGTTGTAACAAATGAAGTCTGAACATACATAAAATTTGAACATGTTACTGCAACAAGTAAGTTCCGTATATTATTAAGTATCAGAGGATATTGTAATATGATAATAATTTACTAGTTGGAGTGAATTGTCTCCGGCTTGTTTTGTGTGTGTTTGGTGATCTATACTAGGAGCGGGCCTGGTTAAAGAGTCTGACTGGAGCAAGAAGGAAGGACCTGCAATATCTCTCCTCCGACGAACTTTGCAGGCAACCTTTAACAAAGTTGAAAAATATAATTTGATTTCTTATTTTTAATACTTTACTTTATTTTTCAGGGGATCTCTCAATTAATTCAGATTTTCTTAATATCAGACAGACAGACAGACAGACAGACAGAAAGACAGACAGAGAGACAGACAGTGTAATGGAAAAATACTCTCTGTCTGTTGCCTTCGTTTGACCTTGAAAGATTAGGATGTTCGTGCATCATTTCGCAATTAGAAACTGTTTCTCTGTATAGCCTTGGTCTGTGTCTCCAACAGGTACGCTCCTCAGGATCTGGGTACAGCCTGACCTTAGATCAGTGCCCTCCTGACAAAGGAGTTTCTGTTGGTGTTCACCGTACCAGGTGCCTTATAGACAGACAGTCAGACAGTCAGACAGACAGACAGTCAGACAGTCAGACAGTCAGACAGTCAGACAGACAAACAGACAGACAGTCAGACAGTCAGACAGTCAGACAGACAGACAGTTAGTCAGACAGACAGACAAACAGACAGACAGTCAGACAGTCAGTCAGACAGACAGACAGTCAGACAGTCAGACAGTCAGACAGTCAGACAGACAGACAGTTAGTCAGACAGACAGACAGACAGACAGTCAGACAGACAGACAGATAGACAGACAGACAAACAGACAGTCAGTCAGTCAGTCAGACAGACAAACAGACAGACAGTCAGACAGTCAGACAGACAGACAGACAAACAGACAGACAGTCAGACAGACAGACAAACAGACAGTCAGTCAGTCAGACAGACAGACAATCAGATCTATGGAATCAAATCCGAATTCATCATTAAAGTATTGCTTTATTTCTTTTTTTTAGGTCAGTAGCCTTACAGTGTCTGGATGTAGTCCCCCTCCCGTCCAGTAGAGGGCAGTAATAACTTACGTAGACTTCTATTTTATTTTTGCCCCTTCCCGGCTTCCTTACACAGCGTGGCTTTCAATGACATTCTGAGCTTTCTATAGAGGAGCTTTCATAAGGCACGTCACTTGTACAGACTGTAAAGATGTCATTATCCTTTTTATTTAAAGCAATTGCAAGAGACGTTGCAAAGGTGAGTGCATGAATCCTTTAGTCTGTCACGTGTCTAACAACCTGAGGCTTGAGCTGTCACTGTTGGCTGTAAACACCAGTTGTGAAATAATGTTGGATGACTTGTTGGCTAACGTCAAGTTCCCTACTTTCTGATTAACCATCTAACATTAACACTTCATAGAGTTACCTTTTAGTTACATGTATTCACCTTGAATTGAAAAACTGTATTAAAGACAGAGTAAGTCTTTAGGGTAAGTCTTGGGGCACTGGGCTTTTTAAAGTTACCCTACATTGAATGTAACACCTTTCATCTCTAATCCTCAGGTCGGTATTTGCCAGCATGTCCAGTCATTGCACACAGGTTGTCATCTTCTGGCAGCTGAGAAAGCCCTCCTGATGAAACTGCGGAAAAGCACGGGCTACACCTTTATCAACTGCAAGAAAGCCCTGGAGAAGTTTGATAATGACATATCACAGGTAAACCCATCTCCCCGGCTCTTTCTGCACCTACTATTGAGATGTGAAACAGTGGTTAATTGATTGCTGTTTTGACAATTGAAAGTACTTGCTGTGTAAAATGATGTGATTTACAAACTCTCAGGCGGAGACGTGGTTAAATGAGCAGGCACAGAAAGAGGGCTGGAGCAAAGCAAACAAGCTGGAGGGTCGCAAAGCCAAAGAAGGTCTGATTGGCCTGTTTATTGGAGATAAAACTGCAGTTATGGTGGAGGTAAAGCCAGATCTATATACTTGCGTATATCTTTTTTTTTAGATTTGTTGGACATGATGGTTTTATGAATGGTTGGTTTTCTCCTTTGCTTGGTGCAGGTTAACTGTGAGACAGACTTTGTCGCCCGCAATGAGAATTTCCAACAGCTGGTGAAGGACGTAGCTTTTGCTACCATGGCGCACCACCAAAACAAAACCCAAAGTAAAGGAGGATATGTGAAGGTAAGACCATACAGTGAGGACAGGATTTGTACTGGAAGTTTGATATTCTGATGGTTTGATTTGATAGCTTGATTCGTTTTATTATCCGTTTATTAAACCGGTTCAAAAACAGTGTAAACATTTTTATATTTTCTAGGAAAGCCAACACAGTATAATAACTCATTAATCTGAAACTCATTTAACAGGGTTATCAAAAGAGGGATAGAACTGTGTGGTTGGGAGATAAAAAAAAAAATAAAGTAAAATATCTAATAATAATAATATAGATCAGTGTACAAGGCCAATTTTATGCTTGGTGCCCTCTCCTAAAATTCCTAAAATCTGACAGGACCTGAAGGCCACTGCCAGAGGTTCAATATCAACAGCAGACAAAAAAGGGGAAAGTGTGCAACCCTGCTGAGTTCCACGATTCTAACTAATTTTCTCAAGCAGAAGTTCAACCTTTTATTATTTGTCAAATGTATGAAATGCATCATAAGGCTTAATGTTGATAGAAAATAATAATTATGTTTGAATTAGGCTACACTGTTTACTAGAAAACAGTGTAATATTCAAACACATCAGTCCTGTTTCCTTTGTTGTACTTTAATTCTGCTCATGCACATTTGTTCACAGAGCATCCTGGCAGGTGATGAGGTGTGCAAACTCAGTGTGGATGAAGGAGCTTCACTTGCTGACCGGGTGGCTCTAACAATAGGTATGTTCATCTCGAAGGGACACTGCTCTGTTTCTCTTTTGAAGACTACTGTGTAGTTCAAACCCACTCTGCTCCTGTGTTCACACCTAGTTTTCTTCATTAATACATTTCTACAGTAATCAAATATTTTATTCTCTGAAGTAATGAAATGATTAGCATTATGTCACAGGAGGATTAAAACATCCTGTGCACAGGAGAGCTTGTAATTGCACATCATGTTTATGTACTGTAAATTGACCTTCACACAAGTTTTTTCACATATAAGAATTACTGACTGACTGCCTGCTGACAGATTTCAAAACTCGAAAACATTTCTTCACCTTCTATGAAATGAAACTTGTTTTGCTGAAATCTTTATATTTAAACATTAATTGATAAAAATCTCTTTGACCTCAGGTCGTCTTGGTGAGAACATGTCAGTGAAACGGGCGGTGACCCTAAGTGTCCCTGCTGAATGGAACGTTGGCTCATACGTACACGGCGGTGTGAGCAGCCAGACAAAGGTGGCCATGGGTCGCTATGGTGCCCTGGTTGTATTTAAGGGTGGTAAGGAGGGAGAGCAGGATACTCTAGGACACAAGCTGGGACAGCACATAGTGGGAGAAGCCCCTGTGTCCCTGGGGAACATGGATGACCTGCCCTGCGGTGAAAGTGAGACCCGCCTGCTGCCTCAGACCTTCCTAGGAGACCCCAGCAGAACTGTGGCACAATTCCTCTTGGGGCAACAGGCTCGGGTGCTGGACTTTGTCCGATTTCAATGTGGTGAGAGAACTGGTGAGGAGGAAAAATGAAGATTGGAAATTGTTAACGTCAAGTAATTCTTTATGTTTCTCATTGTGATTTGAAGATGAAATGCACATTCAGTCAAACAGTGACATCATAAATTTAAAGCAGAATATGTTGGCATACCTCCACTGATGCCTGATGAAATAACTAATCTAACAATAAAATGCTCTCTTTTTGAAAAAATTACTTACGACTCATTATTGTATTTATTTGTGTATTATAATCAGTGTTTTAAGATTATAATAATATATATAATTAATGTAAACTGCAGAGATGTATCTTTTAATGAGTTATGTCGGAAGCATTATGAATACAAATATTGTTTTGTTCAAATAAATATCCCCTAAATCAAGTTACCCCACAAGTTTCATAATCTCTGAGTTCCTTTTTGATGTGTTTCTGATTGTGATTTTAAAAAAGGAACACAATATTGATGCCTTAATAAGACTTCTTCCCCTTTTTTCCTACTGATGTTTAGGATTGTTTGACACAAGAGAGTTTTTAACACATTACTGACTGTGGCAACTAATTATCTAAGTTCTCCATTTACCACCACTATCAGGCAATCTAAATGAACTAGTTGCCTTTGACTGCATGAGTTTCTGATGTGTTGTTTTTGCTGAGCCTGCAAATGGAAATTGTTTTGTTTTTTTATTGTCCGTCATTGTAAGTTGAAACGGTTTAATGCTTTTCTATTACAACACAACTCTCTAGGTTGTCAAAAAAAGTAGTGTTTGTTATTTTAAGGGTGCCCTCAAGCTGTAGCTTCCTACGCACAAAAATGCCAGCAATGCATCTGTAAAATCGACGCCTGTGATTGGCTGTTGCAACCTTTGCCTCCACGTCATCAGTGATATAATGCAGCTCGTAGTTAGTGTCATCCTCCTAGCCTAGGGAAGATACGAGACCCCCGCCCGTCTGCCACCCTGTAACCTAAAACAGACATGGTAAGTCCTTACAATGTTTAAATGATTGAATGCTTTCGGGTTTTTTTTAAAGGTTTGAACTCAAATGTGCAATACCTTGTTCGTCTTTCGATGGCTGTGTAAGTATTTAACCCAGTTAACGTTAAGCTAGCTGCGTTATCCCTCCTGGCCTGCTTCACTCATCCCATCACCAGCTAGCTGCAGTGTTTGTAAAGCCTTTTGCCTTGTGTAACTGTACGCTAGCTCTAATGCAGGATTAATCAGACTAATGCTAGCCTGTTGTCCGTCAGTAGCCTCTAACCTACTTGTTATTCCCTTGTGCTTTTTAACCGTGCCTGCTTCAACCAGTCTGACTTCACTGAAGACCAGATCATGGGTGAGTTCACAGCTGATAAACTGAGGGGATTCCCCCATTATTTTACTGTTAAGCTGCAGGATAACCCTGACAACTGCTGTCTAAAATAGCTCTCTGAAATCCACTGAGACCTTTCAGGTAACTCAACACAGTATTTTTGAACTGTGAGGTGTCATGTTGATATTTCCAAGCTTGTCAATACTACTACTCTGCACTATACTACTAACACCTTACATGTTTGGCACAGCATCTTTGTGTTTCTGCATGCTGATGGACACATATGCACTTCAGATATCCTGCATGTCAACAGTAATATTGACAGCTTGTGTTTTACAAAGCAGTGCAGGACTCGGGGTGTTGGCCCAGACTTTTTGTGGTGTTTTTAAAGGACACTGAAACTACTGTTCAGTGGCCCTCCAATGATTAGTGACAGACAGATACATTAATGCAGAACAATAGTTGCTTTGTGGTCAATATAACAGGAGTGTTGTTCCCACCCCCTCTCAGTGAAACCCACCAGTGTTTTAACAGTCCTAATCAGTTTTTAACTCAAAGTATGTTTGTAAATTTTATCTTGATCCAGTGTGTACTATAGGGTAGGGCAGTGCTCTGGTCTTTTAAAAAAATATATTACAGTTGATCAAATAATCAGGGTATTCATGTTTGAATGCCCATGCTCATAAATGCGATGTAACTGAATTTAGGTAATGTCACAATAACATTATCAGCTGACTTGTTGCTTTAATGTTGTACACTTAACCTGCGATGAAGACATTTTTTTTTTCTCCTGTCAAAACCATGTTTTCTTTTGTCTCCACAGTTTGTTAGTGAAGTCTATTTAATCTACTGTGATTAAACAGCTGAGTTTTGAACTATACCCCTCTGTATCTATGTTAGAATTCAAGGAGGCGTTCCTCTTGTTTGACCGGACGGGTGAGGGAAAGATCACCTTCAGCCAGTGTGGTGATGTCATGCGGGCCCTCGGTCAGAACCCCGTCAATGCTGAGGTGCTCAAGGTCCTGGGAAACCCCAAGTTAGAAGGTAAGATTCATATTTAAGATATTTATAGAAAAAATAATAATAATTTATAATAATAATAATGATAAAAAATAAAATGATGCTCCAGTTTTAGGTAGTGTTTTCTTTCCACTGTAACTTTGTTAAATGTCACTTAGTGCTGTGCTCATTGTGGGTCAATATAACAGTACGTCTAGACCTGCTCTTTTTTTTAGTGTCTTGAGATAATGCTGTTTTTTTTTTTTTTTTTTTTTTTTACTTTGGTGGGAACAAAGAGAGTTTCTCTAACTCCTTTTCATCCTTTCTCATCCCTTTGTTTCTATCTGCAGAGATGAACCACAAGATGCTGGATTTTGAACAGTTTCTGCCCATGCTTCAGGCGATTGCCAAGAACAAGGACCAGGGCTCCTTTGAGGACATTGTAGAGGGTCTGCGTGTCTTTGACAAGGAGGGAAACGGTACAGTGATGGGAGCCGAGCTACGTCATGTGCTCACTACACTAGGTAAGTAAACACCAGCTTAGTACAAAGATTTGTCATTTCTCTTTATCCAGTAACCTCACTTTACAGATATCTGTCCTCTTGTCCTGCACATCTAAAGCATCATTCCCAGACGCACGTTATCTGTACCAAATTAAACCTGCTTCTTAGAAGTACAGTACATCATTTTTCTTCTGTGTTTTCAAGGTGAGAAAATGACGGAGGAGGAGGTGGAGACTCTTCTAGCAGGACACGAAGACGCCAATGGCTGCATTAACTATGAAGGTAAAAGTGAAGAGAATGTGGAACAACACCTTAAAACTAAACGACACAACCAGACTGTATCAAGTACTAGACAGCAACATGTGGTCTTTGTGTGTCACATGCTCAATGACTCTGTGATATCCAGACAGAGACTTACAAAAGCCCAGAGGCCTCATGTTCATCTTCACAGTAAATAATAAATGAAGTCAGTGTGGCAGGTTTACTATACAGCATAGCAGGTATTGTTATTTATAAACGGTTAATTCTATGGCCTTAGAGCATTGCTGGTGTTCTCTGTTGACCTTTAACCTTTCTCTCCTGCTTTGGTCACTGGTCTCCCCAGGCTAAAGCCTGCATGTAACATCTAAAAAAGTCCCCAAGACACTGACAATAGAGTCAAAAAAAAGAAACATTTCAGACAAAAATAAATGTATTTATTTTTTGATGATAAAAGCAATCCATTTCTTAAATGTATCCTGTCCCCCCCGCCCCCATTCTTTCACCATATGGATAATTCCTTGTTTTCCAATTGAAATCTGATGTTGTGTCTCTCTGTTTCTGTCCTGTCAGAACTCGTCCGTATGGTGATGAGCGGTTGAGGAGTTCAGATTCACACATCTCCAGCTTTAATCTTATTCCTAAATGTTTTTGTTTGGTTTGTCTCTTGTAACCCGTCCATCAAGTCATCCTACCTCCAACAAGTCTGTTTATTTTGTTGTCGTTTTTTTTTTTTACATCTGTATGACATTTTTTAAGTGCCTTTTCTGTCTAATGTGAATAACCCCTTTCATCTTAGTCTCAACAGTATTACATCTCACAGGTACAGTTGTACATTCTGATGATTTAACATTCTCACTCTCAGTCAGTCTCGTTGTCATTAGTTTGTTTGTGTGTACATGATAATGTGAAATGTTACATTGAACAGTATTGAATAAACATCCTTCTTTCCAAAGTGTCTTTAAGGCTGTGAGTCTTTGTAAGTCAAATATTTCTTCATTGCTCAAACACATTGTCAATTACATTAAAATAAGATCAATCAAATAGTTGAACTTTATCAGGAAAAATACTGAAATGATATGTTGAAGGTCAGAAACTATTTCACTAGTGTTGCATAACTTGTGATCAGTGATTTAGCATGTTCCAGGTTGAGTCTTGAAGATAAGCAGTGGGATAATGATTTGTTTCTCTGCTCTGTGGCATCCTCAAAATCTAGTTTATGAAACTAGATTTCCACTCGTCTCTGTTCACCTGTGTGTGTTACTGGTCTGTGGAGTTGATGTAGAAAAAAATAAACAAAACTACACATTGACTCCTCTTCAAATCTTTATTTTTTCCCCGACATGTAATGAAAAGCTGAACCTCATACGCCTTCCATTTTTAATACAAACTGCCAGAGTATCAGTCAGCACTAACGTGATGATTTACTGAGGAAAAAGGATTTCTACTGTATAATAATCAATGCAACTGCTGCTACCTCCAGCATTGTGAAAAACACAGAAACTGAACGGACACTTGTTTTCATATCACAAAATCCACACAATGTAGTAATAAGACAGATAAAATAAGTCCATTTATTATCACGACCATAGTGAGGTCTGCAATACTGGCTTGACAGACATTAACTGTAAAGTTTCACCATCTGACTGGAATATTTTTCATGACACTGACATGATGCCTTGTGCAACACAAAGCATGTTTTTTTTTTTTTTTTCATTCTTCATTTTTTTTTTTGTTGCAACAAACAGCAAATGGCACTGAAAATAAAACTGAACGGTAATGTTGTTAACCGACGGTAATGGCATGCGTCCAAGTACACACATGCTCAGTCACATTTGAGGCAGATCCAGCAGACCTGCACGCGTCATACACAACAGTGGAGAGGGTAAATATAGGCTACAAGGGTAAGAATATACAGATACAATGATGACGTATAAAAAAAAGGAGATGGAAACAGTAAAAAATACAAAAATGGATAGGATAAAAAGTGAGGAAACTGTTGCTGATATTAAGGACACAATCTAACCATTGTCAGCTGTTTAAGGTGCAAGCTCCCTTGTTTTTTTGACTTCTTTGACATTTCTTCCACGTAAAACTTGAAATGCACCGACAAAAAAACAAGCTGCTAAAAAAGTCCTCTTAATTTCCCGAGCAACCGTAACAAAACTCACTGAATAAAAGTGAGATAAACATGATTATAAAAACAATTTGGTTTAGCAATAAACACAAAGTCAGATTATGAATAAAACACAAACTGAATGTGGTAGCTGGTAGAATTACTGTTCTCAGACCTTTCTTTTCTTTCATTGGCTCCTTTTGAACATGACTACATTCTTCACAACAATCCAACCTGGATTCTTTCAATTCATCCAAAATTGCAAAAACATGAAGCTCCTCATGTTTTTTCACTAAGTGCTGTTAAAATAGGGGACAGAATTAAGATATTCCTAAGTATAAGTCCTTTAAGGATGATGGTCTCATGCCGTCAGTACTTTTAAATAGGATCACAACAGAGCAACAAAATACTTTTGTAACAGAACGCCCACTTTTTACAGTTCTTTTTCTTCATCTGCATTCCAACCAGCATTTTGTAATTTCTAACTGGCTTCTGATTTTCATTCATCACATACATTTTTCTGCAGAGAAAAGTCGGTTCAAGACATGTGACCTTCAGGTCCGACTCTGTACAGAGACCATAAGTCAATGTATTACAATAAAGACGGAAAAGTAAATCCAAGTTTCTAAAACCTTCAGTATGGAAAAGCAATTCAGACAAGATAAAGGACGATATAAGTGCTGAAGTTCAATTTCATGGATGCTTCAAGTTTTTTCAATGAGACCTAGATTAAAAGTGCATTTTTTCATCAGTACCTACAGTACAAAGGGGGGAGACATTGTGAAGCATGTAACTTCACACGCTGCGAACTACTATTGCAGGACATGAATGCAACATTTTCCAAAACACTGAAAACAAGAGATGAGTCTCTTCTTCATAAGTACCAGCATGTTTTTAGACCCTCTCAGCTCACCTGACCTCTGGTGTTGAGCTTAAAATCAGGAAGTAAGATGTTGCTGTCCAATAATAGACCACGCAGGATGAACGGCTTCTTCATGACAGTACGTTTTCTTCATAGGCAGATCCAATTGAAAGGGAGTTCTTCATTTTCGCCGGTTATTCAAAGTAGAGGTGGTTTCACATGGACGTATATATATATTTTTTTCTTTCTCACATCAAATAGTCTTGTAGGAAGAAAAAACGACAGAAAAAAATGCGTAACATGTAAAATGTGTTCTTTTCTTTCCTCTTATGTCTTCATTTCCGATGATACAGACAGGATTCTAAGTGGTCAGAGTCATTCAGATCCTCAGGCAGTTTCGCTTTTCTCTCACTGGGGAGGCGGGACGGGAGCTGAGGGGTGGAGCGTTTCCCCGGGGAGAGGGGCGCTGGGTTCTGTGATGAGGAACAGGAGACAATTGTTATGAATCTGTATAACTTGGTAGCTGTCGGATTTGCTTACTTCTCTGTTTTTATAGTTGTAGAGTGTACATTTTTGGGTTTGGGATGATAAGTCTATAAAAATGAGAATTTGATGATGTTGCTGTTTGTTTAAATACGATTGACAGGCTAATAGGAAACAAAACTACAAGTTACAGTCCTAGAATGTAACCAAATATTTAGGTTACTAACAACACTACAATGTTTGATATTTACTCTCCCTGTATTGGATGTTATCTTTTCCTCAAAGCTGCCAAACTGTGAATATTTCTTACCAACAATAAAGCTTTGGGATGCACATGTGATCCCCCCTTGTCCCATTTAGCTGTTTGATTAGTTTGTTCATTTTGCTGTTTTTTTTATACTTGCTGTGAACAACTGTTTGCTGTTCAATATGTGAAACATCAGTCTGACCACAAGAAATTACATAAACCATCACATCTACCAAACTATAACTCAGGGGGTCTGTGTAGGTTCTCAGTCACCCAGGTCAGGGTGAATTTGAAGCTTGATCCAAAGGCAATTGGACTTGTTTGAAGATCTTGAACCAAGTCCAATTGCCTTTGGATCAAGCTTGGAATATAACTCCTAACTCAGGAGGTTATCATTTTATATTTTATGCATTATATGTTATTACATATTAAACCTGCTTGTTATTTTAACACTAGAATCTCTTAAAGCTGCTGCTTTGTGCTCACCGTGGAGTACAGGGGTTGAGCTGGAGCTGGAGCTGGAGTGGGCAGCTGGGGTCTGGCCTGGGGGGCAGGGGGGCGAGGTGTGAGCACCCTGAGCCGGCTGGGACTCAGAGGGTTGGGCAGAAGAGGCTGTAGGAGCGGGGCTTGGGGCAGGCTGTGGCGCTGGTGTGCTTGGAGCTTGCTGAGTTGGACCCTGGGCTGGCTGGCCCGAGGCAGCCTGATTAGAATGAGGACCCCCGGACTGGCTGTGTTGCTGGTGCTGGATCTGTTGGAAGTGCTGCTGGCGGGCTCTCATCTCAGCGTATTTCAGCTGCTCCATGTGGAAGGACTGACGGTCAGCCAGCAACTGCTGACGCTGGTACTCCAACTACACACATAAAAACACAGCACAACAGCAAATGTTACAGGTTTTAGTTGTAAGGACACTGACTTCACTTTTGTGATACTACAAACCCTAGAATGCATCACTTACAGCCTCCCTCTCTCTGTCCATAATGGTTTCCAGTTCTTCAAAATGTCGCAGTTTAATCTCTAACTTTTTCATCTGGGTCTCCACCAGCAGAGCAACAAGAGATTTGATCTTCCTCTCTTCCACTGCAGCCAAATGCTACACAGAAAATGAAGGAGAAACGTAAGAAGAGAGAAATAAGAAAAACATATATGTAAATTTATACATGAATTGGCCCCTGAACAAAACCCTACCTTGGCTTTTACAGCAGCAGCAGCGAGTGCAGATGCTGCAGCAGTGGCCAGGTTCCCCTCTCCCACATCACGCTCCACCTTGGCTTTTCTTTCTCCTTCACTCTCTGCTTCTTTTTGTCCCTCCTCTGTGCCCTCTTTTCCATCCTTCTCCTTCTCCCTATCCCCTGAGAGAGAAAAAAGTTATATTGTCACCATCACTGACAAAAATTAGGATAAGCATTTTTTCTGTATCTGACCGTCAGAAATAGAGGTGTATTTCCGTACCAATCTCTGACTCTGTTTTGTCCACCTCCCTCTCTCCTTCTTGCTCTCCACTTCGTTCTTCTTCCTTCTTCCCATTCTCCGCCTGCTTCTCCTCTTCTTCAGCAGCTCCATCTTTGCTGTCCTGTGCGGAAAGTGAATGCAGTATAATGAGCCATGCAACAGAACTCCTAAATCCTTATATCATGACAGGTATGCATCATACCTTTGCCTCCCTCTTCTCTTCACTTGATTGGCTGTCACTCTTGCTTTCATCACTGCTTTCATCTGCAGGGAAGTCAGATCCTTTTTATTTGCTTTTCTAGTTTTTCCATGTGAAGGAGTTTTTCTTTCTTGTATCTTTAAACTCTGTGTGTATGCTGTACTGTACTGTATGTGTGTTGTGTGTGTCCATCCTACCAGGCCTCTCTCCCTCCTCCAGCCCGGTGCCTGCAATGCCGCTCCCCTCCAGTCCATAGAGCGGGTCCTGTCGGCCGCTGACCCTCGCTGCCTCCTCCACCCGCCGCACATGAGCCTCAACAAGTGCTGCAGGAACCTCCTCCTTCATACGAGAGAACTCCTCTGAGAGGGGAAAAGACGTTAGTAATGAACAAAAAAAAAAGTGTAACCTATAATGACAAAGGACAATATCATGTGGAGGTAATGTGTTTTTACATTTACAATGCCATTCATTTTTTTTTCACCTCAACAGAATAATTATGCGCAATCCTTTTGCTGGTTATATACAGAATAATTGCAGGTAGTGAGAAGGTCGAAAAGTTTTCAAAGACAAAAACTACAAGGTAAAACAAGTTCATTTCATATTATATTAATCTTAATATTTAATCAAATCTTTGTCATTAAGTACCCTGTGTACAGCAGCACATTATGCTGAGATTGTTTTTGGTGTTTGTGCACATATTTAAAAAAAGTTTTTTCTCACCAAGAGCAGATTTGGCGGCAGCTGAGGCCACACGTGGGTCAACCACAGAGGCAAGGAAGGCCACTGTGCTCATGACAGGGTTTCCCGCTTGGCTGAAAGGAATAGGCTGATAGGCCAGCGGCCCCAGGGACGAGGAGTGGTCTTCCAGGTAAGGGTCTTCAATGGGCAGCCGCAGGAAGTGCAGGATACACTCATCTTGAGTACGGCTACCCACATGTTCTGACACCTTGTTCCAGTCGTCCTTGTACATCTCCAGGCCCTGAGGAAAGTGAGGTTTTCATTTAGCTATGTATTTCTTTTTGTTCATTTCACACCAAAAGGTTAATTTTGAGTTTCATTTTTACCTCAAGAAGTAGTAGTGTTTCTTGTTCTGTCCAATCCCTCATAGAGCTGGCTGCACTTTTGCTCTGTACACAGATATTTACCACCACCTTATCAGTGTGATTGATAAACACAGCAGAAGAATCATTCTGTCAAGCATAGTGTTAGAAATGTACCTTTACAGAGCCAGTCTTCTTGCTGTACATGTCAGTCCGCAGCCCAAAGTTTTGCAGATCTGCTGGTTTATCCTTCACTTTATCAGGGAAGGACATCATCTGCTGGGTGGCAGGAGTCTGCAGGCCCACAGTGACAGAGGGACAAATGTAAATATAGCCCAAAATATGTCTGTATGTGTCTAATTGTATGTGTCTTTTCGTTTATGTGGACCTGGGATGTCTTGGGCTGCAGGGGCACCAGACTGGATGGAGTGTCGGCCAGGACATGAAAGTGAGAGGTGGGTGGTGGACCCATGGGTGTGGGTCGGCTCTCAGAGTCCACCTGGTAGTTGATCAGCCCCCATTGCTCCAGGAAGGCGTGGACTCTGCAGCAGAAGACACAAAGTGTATTTACGTCACTGATGGAAGTTTGACTAAAATAAATGACTGTCTGGATACAGATAGTTAAATCTCTAGATTGACATAAAAATATTAAGCCTTCACCCACCTCATGATTGCACACACGTCTCCTGCCAGGTTCCTGCGGCAGGCGGTGGAGGTCAGGTACTCTTGAGGGTTCAGTCGGTAGGTGTCAATCATGAAGTTCCTGTACGCCAGGTAACTGAAAGAAGAAAAAGGCCATGGATTCAAAAGATGTATTTGAAAGGAAAAGAAAAGAAACTGACTGCCTAATTCACAGAAGGATTGAGCAGCTTTTGCTCTTACTAAACGTGTGCAAATACGATAAAAAGATACTGAAAATGACACAAATCACACAGTACTGCAGCTCAAACAGCTTCTCTGTGCTCACTCGCTGTGCTTATTTGAGTGAGTCATGATGCGATCATTTGGGGGAAAATGCCCCCTTTCAATGCAAATGAGCATCATTGCAAAATAAGTATCCAGTAACAGCTACGAGCAGTTAAAGTGAGAAAATGACTGTCTGCTGAGAGCTGCTGTTGACTGCACCACAGTGTTTATAAAGGATGTCATACTCAGACTTTTCAGCAATAATGACACCAATTCCACCTTACAAATGATTGAGAGGGAAACGATTGAATATTAAATACAATCAATACCCTGACATCCCTATTATATATACAATGAAGTTATCATCAGTCTTGTGCTGTCAGTGGCTTGACCCACACATACAGGTACACATCATCCATAAGTGAGAACACGGTCTGTTTCATATGAATGAACAAGTTGCCCTTGCTAGCTCCATTCAGGAAGGACATTTTTTTTTTTCAAACGGCCAAAAACTCAAATCACATTCTTCATTCTGGCCTCACAATAAATTTGAAAAAAAGTGTTCCCTCCCCTCCCAGCTCATCATCTACATGTTGGATGGAATTGAGCTCGGTCTGCATGAAAGTGCAGACAGCTGCTCTCCACAATCATCAGTCGTAGAGAAAACTGCATTGAGCTGACTTCTCACGAACACAATATGTGAAACAGAGCCTGAGATGGAGCAGGTAGCTGATGAATGATGTGGTTCCTGTTCTAATTAACTGTAATATAAACATCTGATACTGTGTTTTGTCATGGTGAGATACTTACATCTCAGGGGTTTTGGATTTATTCTTTCCATTGAAGAACTCTGGCAGGGCTCTGCGCTCAATGGCATGAACACTGTGGGAAACATTAAATATGAACATGAAATAATGAAATACATCGACATGAGCAACTTCTTATTTTTTGAGTCGAGTCTCAAGCTCTGTACCGATTGGTGCTGAGACTGTACTGGATTTCATTCCCACTAGAAGTAACACCAGCTGATATCAATCATTTGAAAATACCTACCTGTTGTAGTCAAACCAGGCAGCGTAGCTCGGTATAATGATGTGATGAGTTTGCTCGGTCACATTGTCCTCGTGAAGGTCAGAGCCTTTCACCGGTTCACCCTTCACACTCGGTGATCCTTCCTCCTCTTCCTGGTTGGACAAAAAAAAAACACATTCAAGGTGGCATATTGGTTTTTAACTTCCCCTCTGTCATACTTTTCCTGCTCTTTCACAAACGTTCTTACCTTGCCTGTTGTCTCCATGGATTCATCCTCCGGCTCATCTGATCAAATCAAAAAGCAACATCAGCTTAATGTAAACACAGATTATCAGAAAATTGTAACCGTGTTTAGGATAGAGAACTGCTTAAGATAAGAGAATACAAAGGGACAGTCAGAAAATTAAGATGAAAAGAAGTGTCTCTAAAGTAATAAACAGATGTGTTAAAACCTGAGATAAACAAGTCAGTGACAAACTGTTGCCTTTCCACTGTTTGATCTGAATTAGGGCTGTTAAACAATTATTTGTTTTATTTAGTTTTTTTTATTTAGTGCTGAATTTCAAAAGTGAATTACAATTCATAGTATTTGTTATTGATTATTTTGCGTTTGAAACATTTTTTTTAGTCCATATTAACTTTAAAAAGTAATTCTTACCAGTGTCTTGATTTGGGAATCCAATCTATGCAGAGAAATGTACTTTGAGACCTTGACTATTAAATGTATTATCTAAACCAGTGCTGCACTGATACACCATTGCTCAGAGGTAGGAGACAGCCTCGAAGTGTTTGTTCTGTGAAATATTGTTTTAGCATAACACTGTCACACACAAAGAAATATGCAGGAGTAAGGCGGATATCTGGTCACAACATGCTGACCTGAGGACGTCTCTTAGACCCCAGTCTTCCACAACTTTGACTGGCCTGCAGTCAGTTGCCACACATTAAGCAAGCACTGTAGTCAAATTCTTGAATTTAGTTTCATCCACAGGTCAGTGGCGGTTCGGGCACTGACTGACATCAGTCTGATTGGCTGCTCCTGTATGCAAAGCTCGTAGCTGATAGCTCAAACTAAGAGTACACTGGTGATGTTTTATTTCCGCTTAAACCAAGGTGGATATTCATTTGGACTTGTCTGAGCTGTCTGGGATGTTTTTACAGTTTTGTGGTGTCATTATTTTTCATTATGGCAGGAGCAGGAAGACAGTGGCTTAACTATGGTGTGCCAAAAGGGACAAAAAAGCACACAATTAATGTGATCCAAAATAATTGGATACATTTAACTTTTTTTACCTTCATCACTTTTCAATGTATGCATTAACGCTGACAGCCTTAATATTAATTATCAGTGCACTGAGAAAAGGATATTTTATTTTGAAAGAAGTTACAGGTGGCCGTGATAGAGGAAATGCAAAAACGTTCTGCTCACCCATATCTGTTCCTCCTTTGACTGGAGTTGAATCAGAGTCCTTCTTCGTGTTATCTAAAACGAAATAAATATCAAAAACTTACTCAAAGCACCAACGAGATGACATCTCATGCTCATTTCAATTGATAATTAATGTTGGTAATGTTATCTTTGGCATATGTGGACTCCATTACTTGACTTTGCTGGGTTTCCATCTTCAGATGCTGGAATGGGAGACGCTTCTTCCAAGTCCTTACTCAGATCCTCCGGTTCCTCCTCCCTCTGCCCCCGTTTGGACTTGGTGTAAGGGGTCGTTGGGCTATTGACACACACCCACACACGTACATACATATAAAGGACATTATATTATTGCTGATTCTGAGAAAAAAAAAAAAATTAAAGCAACAGATTTTCCCTTGCAGCTGATGAGTTGCAAAAAGACGTGTGAGGTCTACACACCCTTTTTTGGTATTCTTCTTTTTGTTCTCCTGTGGCGGTGGTGTGGGGGAGGGGGAAGGTGAGCGCTTCCTCTTCTTGGCACTGCCAGGCTTCTTGTCCCTCCGCTCATCAGGCGTGGTGACCTCATCCGTCAGGGTCTTGGCTGAGATCCTCTTCCTCTTGGGGCAGCCCTCGCCCACCTCATAGTCCTCCTCGTTCATCCACTCATTATACTGGTCCAGGTCTAAAATCCACTTGGCGTGGACCTGTGGATGAGACCGTACAATACGATGTGTGAGCAAAACAAAAACATATATCATTCAGAGGAGTGAAATGTAACCGAGAAATGTTTACAGACTCTACCTAAAGTAGCCACATCTTGTCAAAATCACCAACTGTCTCTGGGAGTGTTTTTTGGCAGACGCATTTAATAATCAATTTTTTTTTTAATAAAATGCATAAAAGCAATCCACATGAATATATAACTATGTAGTTGTGGTCTGTTGTAGATATTCCCAACGTGAATAAACAGAGTGACATGACTCTTGATTATTGTTTGAATGGGCGACAGTGGCTCAGTTGGTAGAGTCGCCAGATCCACAGGAGAGTGGGGTTCGATCCCCAGCTGAGCAACAAGTCCGATGTGTCCTTGGGCAAAACACTTAACCCCCTCCATTGCTCCCTCTGCTTCGGTGGCGGTGTATGAATGTATTAGTGTTGTAGTTACTCTCTGATGTATGTCTGTCGCTTTGGATAAAAGCGTCTCCATCATCGCTCCGACTGTCATGCCCTTCTGAGAGTACAACTACGTGAGTGACTGATGCTCTCTGACTGAATCTCAATAAGAGCCTCCTGCTTTGAATTTATTGTTCAGTCAAATGTCAAACAAGGCCCTGCTGCTCCATGTGCCAATTTTACATGGCAATTCATTATGTGATGTTTATAGCAGAGAGAAATATAAAATAGAGAGAGAAAAGTTTCCACACTAAGGGGTATTGAGCTCTAAGTACAATTCAGCTTAAAGAACATAAAGAACTCTATCTTATACAAACTAATGTTTTATAAAAAAAAAAAAACACAACATAAAGAAATGTTCAAAACAATCATGCACATAAACAGTGCACACTGTTTCTATAAATAGATGCAACAGTTCCTCCTGCAGGCTTAAAGAAAAACATGTCTTTGAACAGCATGAAGTAATAGTGTAAGAATTAAACTGCATCATACTGAGAGATGATAAAGGATTGTTCACCTTAGGGAAATTAACAGAGAAAAAAAGGTAAACACATTTTGTTTTTAAACTAGGAGGAGATTATGAAAAATTGAAAGAAAAGACACAAGACGTTTGAACCAACAGAAGAACTGACATACCTTCCTGGGCTTTTCTGTGCTGGGGGGATCCTCCACAGCAGCTTCAACCTCACTGGCTGGAATCCAAGTATCATAACTGAACAATGAGAGAAGCAAGGTCAAAGGTGAAGGCAGGAGATGATTACAAGTGGAAACAAAGTTTCAGGATAACAAGAATATAAAGCAGATCTGCTCATCAAGTTGGGAATTGTGTTAAACGTCCACAAAAAGAGATGAGGTAACAGTTTTCAGTGAGGTGTCGAATATTGGATGGTGTTCACAGCTCTGTAAATTCAGCACCTGTCAGGAAAGTATCCCCAGTGGAGCAGCACCTGCTTATCTCTCTTCATCACAGGACGGACCCACTCCTCTGGAGAAAAAAAGAGGAGAAGTGTACCAAGTGAATCAGTGCACGGAATAAATAGAAAAGCACTGTGCCAAAACAAAACACATGAAGTCTCACCTTCCTCAAGGCTGCTGGGGATTGGAACGACAACATGTGAGCTGGAGGCCTTGTCCTCGGTAACTGAGCCCTGCAAAAATTGTCGATACAATCAAATATGATCTTGAAAAACATCTCAACGACTTTGTTTCAGTTTGGAAAACACGAGTGAAAAAAAGCGGTAAAGCTTTAAACATTACATATGTATTACCGTACTCTGAATGTGGCTCTCACATGCAGGGAAGTGTTTGTCTGTATAACTAAAATATCAACAAATATAAAACGTACCTGATGCCTTTTGATGATGTCTTTGAGTTTGCCGAGCAGTTTGGGCTCAATGTCAGAGCTCAGGTAGATGACAGGTCTCGTCAGGCAGTTGTTCTGATGCAACAGATGAGTAAATGAGCGAAACCGAGTCATTCACACGCATTCATTTAAATTGTTAGGACATTTACTGGTACATAACTACTTCTTACATTTTATACAATCTTCACTTAAGAAAAGAAGTCTCAGCAGTTTAAACTCTTCAGATTAACAGAGTGGGATGATCTGGTGGTGTAACTGAAGGACTGATTAAATAGGATTACTGGTTATGTAACATGACAGGATGCCTTTCATCATTTCTGTCTGTTAAGCTCGAGCAGCCTGTTTCTCACCCACTTCTTGTATATATTGTAAGTGAGGAGATATGCAACATCTCAAACAAGTTATTTTCTGTGAATCATTTATCTCTGGCACTTGCGGTAAAACATGTGTAACAAAGAGAAGGTTGAAGACAAACTCACCTGCACTAAGGACTTCTCAATCGTCATGAACATCTCCACATTTCGGTCCATCCTCGACGGATTCTGGAAGTCAAACCTGCGCCTACCAGGAAATTAGACTGGAGTTACACATGAAACAGCATCATAGCCAAATTATAATTACGCGTTATACATTAAGATTACACAGTATATCTTCACTTTGAACATTCAATCCTGCCAGAAAGAAAGTCCTACCATCCTTGGTCACTCTTGAACTTGTAGGCAGCTGCCAGGATGTGGCAAAGAGCGCCTCCTGATTTGAAGTCCAGAAAACACTTCATCTGCAGACACAAAACAGTTAAAGAATACCTCTCATGTTTGAAATTTTACAATATGTGATGTCAACAGAGAGACACAGAGACATACCGGCAGTTTTGTGAGTGGGGGGTTGCTAACATGTCGTCCAAACACTTCCTCCTGGAACTGGAGCAGCTGGACCACAAGGCTTGACAGAGACTTGTTTGTTGGGGGTTCAGCCTGGATGTACTGAGGGCACAACAACACGGAGAGCGCTTAGAGCTGGGAGTACACACCAAATTATCCTACATTGTGGAAGGTTTTATTTCTTATAAGGATTTAGAGAAAAAAGTCTGCATAAACACACATTAGTACAAAAAAATCATTGGATATAAAGCAAAAAGACATGCAACACTGTGGCTCCCAAAAATATCACTATTGTTTATTCAAATAATGTATTTACAAACCTTTAGTCCATCAGGTGCTGGTTACTACACTTTCATTTTGTCATTAGTTTAAAAAGTGGTGTTTTCTTTTCTTTTTTTCCAGGGTACATTACCAGTTATATACTCTGTTTTAATTGATATGAGTTAAAAAAAAAACACTAAATAGTGTTTCCTTCATCATTATCACATGCTTGTTTTTGGAGTAAATGTGGTTTGTTTTTGTTTTTTGATCGTAAATCAGCGTGTTTTATGCGAGCACACTGCTCAGTGTTATCCCAGACGGGCCACAGCTTCAGTCAGCGCCGCGCGCCACAGAGCCAACATCTGGATCTGAGCTGCATTACCGTTAGCAGACTGGCTAACTAGCTAGCTGGCTGGCCGGCTAAAGTGCCCCTTTTAGCAAAATATCCTTCTTAATGTCTCAATATGTGCTGCTTCTGAATCTGTTTAGACACATCAATGTCACGTTAATGTGGCAACGCATTTCGCGGATGCTCCTGGTGCAGCTGTTCTCTCAGCATCCTTTTGTATCCCGGCTCGCGTGAATCAAACAGCTGGATGTTCAGCAGCACCCTCCCTCCTCTCTTTGTCACAGCCTCTGCCCAAAAGGTAAGTGCCCACATTTCAAGGCTGAAGACGTAAGCTTGGCGTGTGTGGATACAAAACATGCAGTCAATACCTTTTTGTAATTCTTTCCCAGCCAGACGCGGACATTATCAAACTGGGAAACGGTGTCAGACGCTTCGAAATATTTTACATTCGGGCCGCCGTCTTTCTTCCTCACCGCCATCTTTGCCTGCAGACAACTAGTCGTCTCCGGCTGCCGCCTAGTGGCCGACGTGTGGTACTGCAAATACTGGACAGCACAAGGCAATAACAACACATGTGCAGCAGATGGCGCAGTTGTTTAGAGAATAAGTTAAAATGTAGCTTCACAATTTAAGAGATTTTAAAAAGCACAGTGGTGGAAAAATCCGCAATGTTTATTTTTCAACAAAACTAACAATGCCTTGTTAGAGAGCAGAAAAAAATCATTTTGCAGAATGTATACTGTTGGTGTCATGTAATTATATTAGCTACTGGATCATTAATGTTAAGACATTTACATGTAAACTGTCCTAGATTTGTGGCTGGTCGAGGGGGACCTTTCATTGCTTAATGTCACTCAGAGTGTTTTAATACGCAACAATACAGCCTTTAAAAAAAGAGCAACCAGGGCTGGAAGTGATATTATCATTATTGATAAATCCGATAATCATTGTCACAATTCATCACCAACTCTATAAAATGGAGTGAAAAAGTGAAAATGATCATTATCATAATTTCGCACTGTTCAAAGTGATGTCTCTAAATGGCTTATTCCGTCAGTGTAACAGTCTAGAAAGCACTCACTCTTCAGTAAATAACATTAATGGCAAAGAAAAGCAGCAAACATTTACATGTAAGAAGCTGGAACTGCTGAAAGTTTGACATGCTTGATAAATTACTGTCAACAACATTATGTACATAACATTTTTGCAGTTTCATAATTGTTAAAAAATTACAGATTTTTTTTGGCAAAAATACAAATATTTGCGGTGTTAAAAGCCATTGTGTTTAGTTGTTTTGAGTTAAGTGCAAATGCCTGAAATCTGTAGTATAGTACAGTACTATATGTGCATGAATGTAAATGTACATAAAACGTAAAATGGTTAGTGAAAAAAGAAAAAAGTGCAGTGGGGAAAGAGAAGGTTTGAAGAGGTCACAGAAGTTGTGAAAGCACCAACGAGTAAGTCACAAAATAAAAATAGATTCAGCTTTTTCTCCCAGTTAAGCTCTGATTTTCGTGACTTCATCTTCAGAAGCGGCAACATATAACATTTGCTTCCATGTTAATTACTCCAAACACTCACTCAGAACTTGTTACACTAATTAAGCAAAACTGGGAAAAATGGAGAGAAGTATTATTATCTAATTATCACTCTTCTGACAGTAGTTTCCCTGCCACACGTGGCCCTTCACTACAGTGTTATGTTCCTTCTGCAGCTAGTTTGAAGCTCCACAAAGTGTTGTCAGTGCTCTCTGAAAGTGGCAATTCAAAGAAGAGAATCTGTTTGGGAATGAATTATGATGCAGACGTCTCAGTGCATTTCAGTCCGTCACTCTCTGCCTCCTCGCTGAGAGTGATTTACAGGTTGATTAAACCCTGCTGCCTTTGATAGACTACACAAGGAGGCAGCATTTAAATAAACAAGATTAACAACTTATACTTACTTTTACATTAACTAATCGTTGTATATGTATTAAACCAATTCAACATCGTCAGCCCTGTAATAATTTCAGGTCATTTGCCAGATAATAAAAACATGTTTTGCGTTTCTTATTATTATTTTAATTTGTTTTTCCCACCAAACAGTAGGTTTGGGATCAGAGCACATTCATGTTTAAGCTGGTTCATGAGTTATATGTCAAGATATAAATGGTATCTGTGTCATCACTGAAGGGCAAATTTTTTTTACAGCCAGCAGCACTGCAAAAAACAACACACACACAATAAAAAGACATCATTTTAAAGGACAAAAGAAAAAAAACACAACATTGATCAGAAGGGTAGTATAAAAACAAACAATTTCATAAATAAATATCAGAGGATGTTAAATATACGTATATGTTTTGGGTCAAACAAAAACAAGTGATGAAATTGGTCAATTTATTCACAAACTTGTCCTGAGGAAAACATCTATTTCCATTCCTCTGTGGTTATTTAAATTACTTAAATGTAACACTTGATAAAAGTGCACAGAACACACTGACATCTGCAGCATGACACATTTTGTTATAGATAAATGTGAAAAAACAGGACTATGACCCACAGTGTATCTTTTAATATCATACAAATATTACCTCAGAAAGAGATAAATATATGGAGTTAATATACATCAATATATGTTAATATATGTGATATTATACATAGATATGTAATGAAATGTATTAACTGGCCTGTAGTTATTATACTCCATAAATAATATTCATTATGGAAATAAAAAAAATCTCTCATAATGAGTTGATCCAGATAAAGAATGAAACTTTTATATGAAAGTCATATAATAAATTTAGTAGTTCTGAGAGTACAAAAGAAATATATATATGTATATATATATATATTTGTTTTTACTGAAGACCCAAATGAACTTACATTAACAGAGAAGGATGTCGCAAATGCGCATCTTATCCTGATATCATGTCCTAGAAATTTGATCGATAGAATAGAAAGAATTTATTGTATTTAATAGTATACATGTATATTTAATGTACTGCTTGTATAAAAGTTATTGCTTTGTTATCTGAAAGGAAGTGTGCTGGCATGAATTACGATTTGCATGTGTGTGTGTGTGTGTGTGTGTGTGTGTGTGTGTGTGTGTGTGTGCTTGTGTGTGTGTGTGTGTGTGTGTGTGTGTGTGTGTGTGTGTGTGTGTGTGTGTGTGTGTGTGTGTGTGTGTGTATGTTTGTGTGTGCATGCTTGTCTACATTTGTGAAGTCCAGAGTAAACGTTTAGGAGAGTAGTGCTCCTTGAACTAGTATTTCTCAGGCTGTCTGTGTGTTTGCTCGTTTGCGTGTGTGTGTATGTGTTTGCATGTGTGTGTGTGCTGAAGTAGGGAGAGTGAAGCCTATTGATTATTTTAATCCTCCTATTTGTGAGTCTGTGATCCTCTCGGCTCGGCCTCCTCGGGGGAATTGCTAATGGGGCTGAATGTTTCCCTCCTCAGCAGCTCTCTCTCTGTCCAATTAACTCAACTCTGGAATCTGCCAGGAGGAGCGTTGGGACTCAGAGAGGGGGAGACACTGCTGAGACCAGCCTCCCGCCAAACCCCTCATGTACTGTACACCACATTCAGCAAGAACCCCGTCTTCAAGAATAGTGTTACCGCTCACCTTTAATTAAAGAGTCATCTCTTTGTCTGGTCCTGGTGAGGTGAGAACTTCCTTCAGACGGTGTTTCATTTACACAGGGTAGTGTTACAAAGTTACAGATTCTCCTAATTCTATCTCTAATTTCAAATTTGTGTTGCAGCTTTTTCCTCAAGCTTCAAATTAAATATACAATTGATATACAGGCTCCACTTCTTTATGGAAACATACTTCACTGTAAAACATGATTTCTTAGACGTCTTGGTTCTATAGACTCTCCCAATCTCAACATATCGTTATTATATTCTTTTTACTACAGAAAATGTCTATGTGAAAAAGGCAAAAGCTCTATATGGAGGACCGATGATGACATGACGGAATGGTTGTTTCATTTCAATGTATTTTTGGTCTCTTTGTATTAATAATGGTGTCTTGTAGGCTTGTTTTAGGCTGGGCATATTGTTTATGCATGACACAATAATACAATAATATCAATCAAAATCACATGTTAAACAAAAAACTTTTTTTTCAGTTTTCATAAATTTCATAAATATCTATATGTATATATCTGATTGTCATGACAAGCACCTGGATTTTTTGTTTCAATTACTAAGATTTATAAACCATGTAAAGTACACTATTACTGTAAGAATAAGTGTAGCAGACAAAATATTAAAAAGTATAATAGTTTTTGTAATATTCAAGTACATAATAAATTAAACAAAACAAATGAGCATGTTTTTTTTTAGGTTATAAGAACCACACCATAAAAAAAGAGGCTATATAGATAAGGCTGATATGAATTAAGGAAACTCAAAAGAAAGTTTTACAAATCAAAATGATATTTTCCCCGATGTATGCAAAGCATCAAGTGTCAGTGGAAAAACAAATCAATGAAAAGGATCATAACAGATCATTTCCATTCATACTGCAAAGAAAAAATGCATGATGCATTTAATGGAGGAAGGTCAGGCATCATGAAGTGCACTTTTTAGATGATCCTTAACTTCAGTTTGTCCGTCGTATAAGTCGCACAAAATGCAAACTATTACATCATCATATAAGATCATATGATGTTTCTGAACATCTGAGCACATTGTCTGTTATCCAAACTCTGTTTTCATATTTGTTTACATCCCATAGAGAACATCAGGCTCTCACACTTGATCTAAAGAAATATATTACAGTTATAAACCTCATCATGAAGGGTTCATTTGTGAGTTTGAAGTAATCCCTGCATCAACACATATGATGTGGTGTTTTTTTCTTTCATTTTTATGTGTTTAAATATCTTATTTAATCATAACTCGCACAAAGACAGAAACCGAATCAACCATATATCAGACAAAATATCTAAACCTATAAAATTATTTCGAATATTTTCTCAGTTTTAACATTGTGTTAAAGAGGTGGTTATGTTTACTTTCTTTTAAACAACTTAAACATCATGGCATTAGGATGTTAAATGCTTCATATTCATGTTGCTTCTCTTTTTTTCTTTCCATTTTAAGCCTACATAAATAAATGCATGTACATTGAACAATGTTTTAAATCAAACACTGTAACAAACATAACAAAACCTAAAAACCATAATGTAGTCATAAAACATTACCTCATTATTCTTTAGCAATGAAAGACACACATGTACAGGTAGGTTTTTGATGGGTTTGGTTAAAGTACTGGAAAATATTTCTCAGTTGTTTTAAAATTCGATTTCACAAATAAGTTAATTTATCAGAGATCTTTGTATTCATATTACCCCCTGAGCAGTTAAAGTGATTAAACCAGATGTCAGCGCCCTCACAGTTCTTGATTTTCCTTGAAAGAAAAAAGAGAGAGAGTGAGGAACAAAATGAACAAAGAGTAAAGACCAGACTTGTTTTACTCTGACTCAGAGGGCAAAACAATCCTGAATTTTCTTTTCTTCTTTATTGTGTTTCATGGTCATCAAGGGCAGAGAAAAATCCATGTTGATTTCATACATAACAAATACACACACAACTCAGCCTGCAAAGTACACTGACCACATGGCTCGTGAACAAAGGCAACAGCGTCAGAAAACACACACAGGATGCAACTTGGCACAATGGATAGGTCATGAAAATAAAAGTTGAATGTCATAATTTGTCTACATCAATGTATTTATATATTTTTGAAATCCTTTTTTTAACTACACATAAACATGCTTCTGTTGTTCATTCCAACAGGTGTTTCTATCTGAACAGAATCCGTCTCCATTTTGGGGCCTTTTTTCCATTTCTTTTTTTTTTACAGCAATGAGCTACATTATTTTACATACAAAGATTGACAGTCAATGTCCTCAGTTAGATTCTGTGATAAGTGATTAACAACTTACATGGACTTATCATAGAAATCTGCTTGTTCACACATCCAAACGATAGTGTAAGGCACAGAAAACCTTGAGGTGTGGTATATGGCAGTAAAACACCAACAGCTACCTGCATGTTAAATCATTCTTTGTAAGATGAATGAATTAGCCTACCTTGATTTGCTTTATTAAGCTAGTTAGACAAGAACATTCAAACCACTCTCATGCGTGTATGATAACAACAGACAGACTGAAGACAGCTAGCTTAAGACTCAAAACAGAAGGAAATAGCCAGGCTAGCTCTTTCTGTAATAAGCCTACCAAAAAAAAAAAAAAACCCACAAACATTCTTCTTTTTTTGTTTTTTTGAATACTTACATTTTTATAAAACTGAAGTGGTAACATGTTATCTGGTGAGCTATAAAGCCCAGTGGTTGGACTGCATTTCATTTATATAGAGCTGAGCTAGCTGTTTCCCTCTGTTCCCAATGTTGTTAGCTTTAACCTGCAAGTCCTGTTCAACAATCAACGCTGTATTTGGTCAGCTGTGTGAGGGTTTATGAAGGAGCCAGGAAATGAACTTCTCTCTCTACCTTTTTTTTTTTTTGTTACAAAAACTATTTATATGTTTCTGAATGAGAAAATGGAACAGGTGGTGTTTCGCTCCCTTCATTGAAGTCTCAAAACCCATTGGCTATCAGCAGACAACAACATAACCTCTCAGAGCAATGGACAATTTTCAGGTCTTCCAGTGTGACCAGATGTTATTCAGATGGTAATCTTTTCTGTGCAATGGCCATAGTTTATATGGGTGATTTGAGTTATAGAATGGACAGTCGTTGACTATGAACGTTAGCACGTTAGCTTGTTTATATGCAAATGTATGTTTATCGAGATTAAAACAGCTAAATTGACATCGCATGATGGGGACTGGGATTTCATTACATCCTCTTATACACAGATTGCTTTCTTGCATAGCCTACAGGCAATGCCGGAACAAAAGTGTACAAAGTTACGCATGTTACATTGTGAATGGAAACCTAAACACTTCAGACCCCAAAATCTTTTTCTTGCCTATGGATCCTGTATTCGTCTGTATTCAGAATCTATTTATATAGACAACCTCTGGTGTTGGGTTCTCACTTTGATTTCATGGTCAGAAAACACTTCATACAAAAAAACCCAGTTCCTATGCTCGGCTTAGATACATTTCCTGTAGTGTCAAAATGAAATGAGAGTGCTATCAATCATGCCAATAAACATACTACAAAAAAAGCAAATGTCTATTTCTTATCATGTCGAACTTTTTCAGTACAGTCATACAGCAATGGGTGCCAGGTGTGAGAGTGAGTGACATGGCGTATCCTGTCCTGCTCATTAGCAGGACATGATGAGACTGTCATAAGCTATGGCTCAGAGAAAATCTCAAAGCTAAACCTCAGTATCGACTTACCCTGAGCGTTAAGGGACTGTTACGTGATGCTTTCACAGCCCGACACAAACACACACGTGCTCTCAAACAGCATGAACACACTGGATTATGTTCACTGTGTTGACCGTATTATCAGCTGCAATCAATATATTCATAACTTTTCTTGTTTGGAAATCCATCTCACAGTGAAGGCGAGAGGCTGCAGCCGAGTACACACACTTCAATTTACAGGCTACATTCAGAGATCATTTCAGTCGATTTCAGACTGGTGGCTAAAATTGTCATCTTGTCTCAGCCTAGCAAGCAATAGGAGAAATTCAATTCATGTGTGTGCCTGTGTGTGCATGTGTTTGTACAAGCATGTGAAACAGATGTTTAGGATGCCCTTACACATACTGTACATGGCACAGAATAATGATTACACAAGTGTGTGATTCAGAAGTAAATGTTAACTGTTGATATATACATAACTATATTCATTTTTACAGAAATTCTTTTCAAACTCTATTTGTTAGCATGTTATTACATGTTTTTTTGTACTGGACAGCATTGAAATGGCATATTACATCATGGTAGCATGGTGTGTTAGATGCAGAAAGGAGAGGAGACTTTTTGCTTGAGGAAAGAGAGTATAGAAATGTGAGAATACTGTCAGTCAGGGTAGATGAGGAAGCCAGAGAAGGTGCTGTATTTATTGGTGTTTCCTCCATGAACTTTGCCTCCATCCAGCTGTACACACACCTCGTCCCCGACATCCAGGTGCAGGATGACACTGTTGGAGGCGTAGTCGTAGTTTTGGTCTGCATCTTGAGCGATTGCACTCGCCCTTACCTGAGTTAGAGACAATAGTAGTAGTTAATTTGTTGCAAATACATACACATATAAAAAAGGAATGGATAATTGTTTGGCATTGTGTTTCACTGTTTCACTGTATACTGACATGTAAACTAAATGATAACAAGGAAAAATATGTCATATGGTTTTTGGACATCTAAGAGCATGGAAGAATGTACCACCCAAACTGTATATTGCCAATGAATGATTGTCACCTGCTAGTTTCTAAAAATGTAGTTTGAGAAATAATCGTGCAACAAACTTCTCTGCTTCTATTTAAATCCCTGGTCCTCACATACCACTAGTTATTAGGATGGAGGCTTGTTCACTACAGCCATCTACTGTAAATGTTAATAACCAGGTAATGGAGAAAGACATGGTAGAAATGTGGAATTCTAAGTTGAGCATAAAGAAAGCATTTGTTGGGATGCAGAAATGGTATCATCCAGTTGATTGATAAGAATGGCACAACCAACAATTTCTTTCAAATCACATGTTTTCTATTAAGGGCTTATGATAAGTGTATCTTTCAAAACTTCTCACAGTTTCCAAACCGCAAACCATCTTTTCACTTTATCTGGATGTTACCAGTGCTACCGTTACCATTTTATTTCCTGTTTCATTCTGTGATCTCTGTGTAATGTCATCAGTACAGATACCTTCCCGTCCACTGGGTAGATAGATGAGATGTGCAGTGATCTTTGGCCTCAAACCTCCATCTGAGAGCTCAACCTTTTTAGCCGCTATCAATTTTTCCACCGGGTTGTTGCTCTCACACCTGATCCACATGTTGCAGGGAACAGTCTGATGGGCAATGCAAGGACAATCAGGGAGGACATGTGTCCATAACAGCGAACACAACAAACCTTATTTTTTTAATGGGAAAGTCAGGTTTTAATTTTCAGTATGTTAATTTCAACTGTCGGAACTGTTTCTGGATTAGATACAATAATTTGACTCATTACTTTTTTATTGTACAGATAATATTTAATATTTAATAGCCAGTGAGTCACTAAATCATCTTCAGTTTAATTAAGTACATATAAATCAAGTTTGGAAAGCGTCATTATGTAACATATCAAAGAATAAAAGATCCTAATTCTGTACATGTTAAGCCAAACGTGGACATCACACACAGCGGCTGCCTTGGATAGTTTCACAACATCATCTCCTGAAATGACCGAACATTATAATCAACCTCCTTCTGACACAATAACAAGAAGAGCTGTATAATAGATCTCTCATTAATGTGTGTTCTATGTTCTATTCAAAGGTAACACACTAGAGATGCACTATCTGAAGGCCACAGATCATTTAGCCTCACAAAAAAAAAAGATCTTATGATGGTCTGATGAGTCATTCTTCACTCTTTAATCCACGTATGTAGACGGGTTTATGTGAGGAGAATCATACACTCTACATGCTACTGGCTCTTTAATGGTGTGACCAACCATTTAACATGAAGTCATTAAATCTAATGGCCATTGTACATATTTACATAGCAGTAAGCACAACAGCTGAACACATATCTAATGTTGCTCCGTCATTTAAAGATCAAAATGCTCCTGTGTATATGTTGATTTTATTACATGAAGTCAAACCCACGCAATTGCTTAACATAAAGCCAGGTTTCTTCCTTAATCAAAGGAGAAGAACAATCCATTGTCTCACTTTGATCAGGTCAGGATCCAGTGTGGGTAAACAGTTGGGGAATAGGGCACATTTATTCATCATAAAGGTATCTATTATTTTGTCAACTACATTTTTTTTAGCAGCCAGTAAGCAAATCAGCTTATAATAAATAGCTCTATCATTGGAAGTAACCAACTATTCAAGCAGGCAATCCATTTAATAGAGGGAAATAAAGTACACAAGTGCATACATATTAATGAATGCAAATATGTTCCCCTCACTCCATCCTTGTCCCCGCAGAGGGTCTGATGGAGAATATGGTCCATATCCACCAGTCATCAGGCCTCCCTGACTCTCTCGTGATCACCAAGACAAATGAAATAAGACTAAACTTCCCATTTCTTCTCATCCTCTATCCAATACTCTTTTTCCCCACCCATGTCATCAATTCAGTTCTACAAGCATTTTGTCCGTGTTGCGAAGGTGAACATATTTATTCCCCTCCTCCAGACAGAAATTAATCGATACATTTCCTTTGTTTTAATTCTGCTCACATCACTCCATTAATTGTTGTCTCCCCCTCCATACCTCAAGCCCCCCCCCCCCCCCCTCCATCATCCCACCCCAATCGCTACTCCATCACTATCTCTTCATTCTGCACCCGTCTATCCATCTTTTTGTGTCCTTTTGCCAGAATGAGATGCAGGTCACGAGCACGTTTTCTCCTCTCCCCCACCAGGGCAGTGTTGGCAGGAGAAGCGACTAAGTGTGTCCCTGTCCGGTCTAAATCGGATTGATTAACGGTGCGCACTGTGGCAGGTCTCCTGAGGACCCCCCCTCCCCTTCCTACACACTCGACCCCCCTCTCCCCAACCCCCAACCCCTGCCTCCCTACCTCCAGATGCGTAGGGGAAGGCCATACACGGCTGCAGGCTACAGTAATTGGTAGTTGGACAGCCATGGCAGCTCCCAGCCTAATAGGTCTAACTCCTCAATAACGCCATACAATCACAACGAACGGGGGCACAGGGTATAGGCTACAGTGGTCAAATAGGCCCATGAAATCCTAGCAGGAGGTCAGGATAAGATAAGAACACACACACACACACACACACACACACACACACACACACACACACACACACACACACACACACACACACACACAAATACACATACACACACAGGCAGACTCCACTCTCTCCCTAAGAGCACCTCTCATTCGTCATTGTTTTTTTATGAATCTAAAGCGAACACCTGAGAAAAAACACTTGGCATCTAAGACATTTTGTTGTTTGATACTGTTAGACTGCTTTGCTCTGAAGGGACCGAACTGTTCCCCTGAGGAGGCCTAATAGGTTTTGGGAAAAATATAACAGCAAAGAGAATCTGACATCTTGTACATCCAACATCTGTCTACATGGCTGAACGGCAGGATTCCCCTGATAGTATCTTGAGCTGAGTTACAGGCTGAAAGGCTGCTTTAACTTTCTACAAAAGCAGTAAAGATCACATTTGTTTGTGCAATTACTTCACTATGTGTTCGGAACCAGAATTACAATTCCACTTATTAAAATACACAATTGAACTGCATGCAGCCTATTAAAAAATGTGTATTTTACGGTTTCCCTACCTATCAGCCATAATTAAGAACCATGGAGAAAAAAAACGCTGCAGCAGAGATATTCATATCATCTTATTGAAATGGCCTTTTAAACATGAACATCAGCTAATTTGCCAGCCAAAAGGACATGATGTTATTTATGGCTCTTTATGGCTGACTTCCTTATGAGACATGCAGGTTTACTTAGCCTCGCCTCACACAGCAAAGATGCTGACATTTAATGTGTTATTTTTATGATTAATTCAAAGGCGCATCATCCTCCTGTATTTACAGTAACTCAGGGCACAATAAACCATTTTATACATTCTATGAACATGTTTTAAGAGTCTGACATTTAAAATACTACCTCATTATCAATATCACTGCCACATTGGTACAGGAGTTTATCATTAGAAAATAGTCTGCTCGTTCTCTCAACATAAATTAAAAGAGAGATTTGCCACATGGGAGTGGTTCTATAACTGATTAAATGATTTGTATTTCATTATTGTGTCGTATGAATAAATAAGCAAAGCTTTATATAACAGATGTGTTAAAATAAGAAGAATATGTTAGGAATATATAAATACAGTGCTTAAACAGCAGACTACCCAAGAGTACAGTTTGTAAAACTAGCTTGAGCTCCACCATCTATTATATGGCAGTAAAAAAATCTTCTGCACTGTTGCCCCTCTATTGAAGAGCTTTACTGAAACTCTTTCAACTACAGATGTGTTACATTAAGTATGTTTTTTCTTTGTAAATTCTGACATTTAACTTCATTTGAAATAATTTAAAAAATCCAAAGCCTTACAATAGGTAGTTGTGTAAAATGTAAATGTTTTTATGTAATCATTTAAAAATATATATTTTTAAATATTTTCTTTCTGTTGCAGTAAGAAATATGCCATTTTATGTTTTGGGAATTTGAGTGAATACTTTGCTTGCAACAGACCATTTTTGCATAGTTTATGAATCCTTGTGTCGGACTGTGGATTGTATAATTTCTTGATCTGAGCTCGATTTAGAGACATTGCAGAGTTTTGTGGCCCTGAAACCACCACAGATGAATCTTTACTGTCAGAAACAATAACAGTGAAACATGGTGTTCTTTAAGTGGGCAGGAGGCACAAGGGGCTTTGGGAGTGAAAACAAGAGGGAAAGGCAGATCAGGATTATTGTCAACAGCTGCAGAGATTGATAGTGACAAGGGAGTGAATTTCTGTCTGTTGGACAAACACAGTTCTGACGTGATCTGCTGCTGGCGGGGAAAGCGGAGACCCGCGGGACAATGGAGACGATTACACTGCCTACACTTTTCATTAGGGGGCAGCATGAAATGGGGGGAGAGAGAGGCAAGAAATGGTGAGAAAGAGAGAAAGAGAGGGGGGTTACAGCAGGGAAATAATTCATTGACAGTACTAGATGCTCAATAAAATCCACATTTTCAGCTGTGTGCCACTGATTGGTGTGACATATTTTAGAGCTGAGCTACTGTGTATCAAATTTATCAAGCCAAAGATTTCCTTTTTTTTGTATCTCAAACAAGTATCAAAGTCTTACATCATAATGTTTAGGTCGAATGTTTTTTTTATTGAATTAAACATAATGGAAAGAGGGACAATACAGGATAGTGAGAATGAGGGATGATATTTGGATAAGGACTTAAAGACAGCTGAGCAGCTGCATGCACTTTTAACAGTCTAAGCACAGGATGCTGGTAAAGGAAGCCAAAGTTGAGTGGGGCTTTGAGTGATAGGGA